GTTTTGTTATGGTCCCATAATTGACAATGTTGTTGCCATTGGTGAGAGGGCCCGAGCACCATGTCAAGTTCCAATCCCCACTCAAAAATCTGATGATGAATATGAAAGTTCTTGTGACAGTAATGACATCTCAAATGCTGATAAGCAAGCACCAACTACTAATGATGAGGTCCACATGTTCCCTTGTCCAAAACCAAAGTAAGGGAAAAACTGTCTTCCGCACTAATAGTGGGGTGCCAAAAAATATGTCTGGTGCTACAGCATCAATTAATAGTATGAATTCACATGTGGAGGTTATGTCTGAGAGAATCAATCACACTTCATTATCAGAGCCTACTCTTATCCATTGCTTGACCATGCTAGAAACAATTGCAACCGTGGTCCCTGGAAATCGCCTCTGGGATTGGGCTTGCATTTTCCTTTGCAAGCGGGACATGAGAGCTCTCTCTGTTTATCAACCTACTGACGAGGTCCACCTATCTTGGTTAGAGTGGACCTATGAGAATTGCCAGCACCTATAAGTACGCCTTTGGAGCATATTTTGTAACTTATGTTGTATTGTTTTTTGATATGTAATAACTAGAGATTGAACCATAAACTTATGATTTAGAGTACAGGTGACTCTACCATTAGACCACATGGTTAATGGTAGTTATGTTGTATTTATGAATTGTTTCTATGTGCATTTGGCCAAACTGAAGTATTTTTTGTTAAGCTTGTAATCAAGGAATTATTTTGTTATTCTGTTAAGTTTATGAAGTGTTTTCCAATCTCTATGTACTTGGACTGATAATGCTTATACATCTAGAACCTATCATTTGAGTATCTCAACTGCACATGCCAACAGAATTGATACACCATGAGAGGACATTTGTATTTGAAAAATAACAAGCTTATAATATCGTGTAATTATATAATTTGATTCATTTTATTAAGAAATTTATTTGTAATTTATATGAATCTATTTATTTAAGAACATCTTAATTATAAATTTAAAATTCTACTTCACATGATGTTTTAAGTACTTTAATTTTTGCAAAAATGAAATAATATTTATTTAATTAAACCAAATAGAACCATACCGTTTGACCATGAAAATTTTAAACCGTGAGCAATTTTTATTTTTGGGAGGTTTATTGGGCCCGATGGCAAAGATGGAATCATGAAATTACACAACTGTTTTTTAGAGATGGACCTGGCCCAATAAAGCCCACTTTCTTGTTCCCGTTAAA